TATCTGTCTGTGAGCTTGGCTTGGAACAAGAGACGCTCTAGGCGATGGAAAATGCTCAAGGCTGGTATTTTGTGGGGGTTCGTTGAGCAATGCAATGCAGAGGGATCTACAGGGGATTTGGTGGAGGTTGAATGTAACGGTATCGCGATGTTGAAAATGCGTAAGCGGAATTCCTTGTCTTGCCAGTGGTGTCATGTCATGGGAGTGAATGCATAGGTACTTGAAGGTTTGAGTTATTGATCAAGGTGTAGGGAGATGGGATGATGAGGCTCACCGTATACCGAGCCCTAGAAGGAAAAAGCAAAGTGATGAACAGGTACGAAGCAACATGCTACAGATAAGTCGAAGTTAATGCACTGACTGCATCGCATCCATCACGCACAGGTACTGCCCTTAGGTGCAAGGCGGCTGTAGCTAGCCTACCTGGATACCTAGTAGGTAGCTGCAGTCTGTAAGGTAAGCCTGGCTGCCTGGCAAGGTAGTGTAGTGTAATAGTGTAGTGTAGCGGATATAGTTGCATGTTACGGTTGTAGTCGATTAGTTAGCTGACAGCCACATAGGCTCTGCGGAGTGAGATCCGCGGCACAGAAGAGGCCAACGGTTGCGATGGTTATACATACCCGATCAGTACAAGTGCATCGCGGTAGTTGAGCAGGGTCCTCTTCTTTATCTTGTTCTTGTTTTATTGTGTTTCATGGCAGTTGGAGCCGATAGTTAGGCATGTATGTACTGACAGCCCAGTACACACAACAGAAGAGATTGCAGATGCGGCCGATGCATGCACACGCCCTGCCACACCTGAGCTGCTTTGGGCAGTTATAGCAGGGTTGGATTTTCAGCTTCTCTCATGCGTCTTTTCCTCTTCTATGCATGTTGGCTTGGCACAGTGGTCAATTCAACTCACCCAGACTTGGCGGAGAAGAGTCGGGGATGGAGTTACATCCCATACAGTAGGTTACAGTATACCGAAAGTGTGCGACGGAATATTTATACTCAGTGACGTCAGGGGTCTGTAGCGGCGGTGAGGGATGCGATCCATGTTACCATGATGCATGCATCTTTGGTGGTGAGTTATTTCCGTGGTGGTTTGGACTAGTAACGGTTTCAAGAAGCACAGGGCATTTTCTAGGTTCTGAAGGACAGGGGAGATGATAACCTCACTTGTATATCAGTATAACAATATGACAGAGTTGAAGGGATTTCAACGATATAACGTACATAGAGAATTGTACGGATATGCTGAACTGAATATGCACCTTGGCCAACATGATTGACAAATCTCTACGTAGACGGGACAGAACAAGGTGGAATCGACAGTGGGGGTTCCATGATGGAGGGGAAACCCCGCCCTTCAAGACATCATAACTCTTGTTCTCTCTATTCTCTCAAGAGAACTGCCGACATATGATAGCAACTCATTACCCCCAGAGATAACAAACAACAACCTCAAAATAGCTCTACCTAAAGTACAGTATCAACAATGGCTCCCATCGGCGTAGCATTGATCGGCGGAGGCCTGTTCGCTAAACAGGCACACATGGTGCGAAACCCCCAATACAACCGCCCGCCCAATTACGTATGCAGGATGCTGAACAGAGGCCCGGCAGCCTGCTATCATGAAGGCAGATAACCTCGCCCTCAAGGCCATCTACTCCCGTTCTCTCAAGTCGGCCAAGGAGACGGCTGCCCTGAACACCCGCTCCGGCCAAGACCCGGACTTGTACTCGGCCGATTCGGGATCCGGCAAGTCGTTTGACGACCTTCTTGCTCGCGAGGACATTGAAGCCGTCATCATCGCATTGCCCATCCCGAGCCAGCCCGAGCACATCAGAGCTGCTCTCGATGCTGGCAAGCATGTCCTTGCCGAGAAGCCGCTTGCTCCCACAGTAGCTGATGGCAAGAAGTTGATCGAGTACTACCGTGGTCTAGGAGGCAAAGCTACCTTCTCGATTGCAGAGAACTTTCGCTACAAGCCATCGTTCGACTATGCCGCTGCAGAGGCCTCCAAGCTCGGAAAGCTGCAGCACTTCAGTGTACGTGTGTTCTTCTACATGAGTGAGGATTCTCAATGGTACGGCACCGCTTGGCGCGCAAAGCCCGAGTTTCAGGGTGGTTTCCTGCTCGACGGCGGAGTGCATTTCTCTGCAGCGACACGACAGCTCCTCACAGATCCAGCAGTCGATGTGACAGCCTTCACGACTCAGACACAACCTCACCTGGCACCAATCGACACCGTGAACGCAGTGATCCGACTCAAGAGCGGTGTAAGTGGCACGTACCAGCAGTCCTGCGGCTCCAAGATGAGCACCTCAGTATTCCAATTCGGCTACGAGAAGGGCTCCGTGGTGGTCGACGGAGATAAGGTAACTGTTACGCCGTGGGATGGTGAACCTGCTGTCAAAGAGTTTGAGAGGACGAGCGGTGTGACGGAGGAAGTTGAGGCGTGGGCGAAGGCGTTGGCTGAGGGAAAGCCGGATAAAAGGCAGAGCGTCGAGGAGGCGTTGGCGGATCTCGAGTTTTTGGAGTTGATGTTTGAGAGTGGCCTTAATGGAGGGCAGGCTAAGAAGTATGAGTGTCAGTTGTGAAGGTGAGATTTTGGTGCAAGCAATAGGTCGGTGTGTAAGTCAATGAATAGTAGTAATATTGCGCCAAGAATATGAACAGGCATCAGATACAGCAGCTAACAATAATATAAACGAAACATTAGCCGAATAATGCAACTGAAGTTTACTGGGTGCAAGCCAAGTTTGTGACTTTCTGAATTCGCAGTACTGAGCCTCTTGACCTGATGATCCTGGTCTGCAATACTGGCTGGTAGGCGAGTAGCACTAAAGCATTAATTCTTTATTATAGTGGCTCATGTAGGCCATTTATATGCTTACATATATCCTTAAAGCTTAGCCTTTCCTTTAATTGCATCGTCACCAACAACCAGCTCCTGCAACTTCTCACGGAGCGTTGAAGCCATACCGTCCTTTAGCGGTCTATTCGTCTCACGATCAACATACACCTGTATAAACTCCCCTACCGCCTTCACCTCATCCTTGCCCTTCTCAAAGAGCGCAGTCTCGTACGTGACGCTAGATTTACCTAGCTTGTTGACACGTAGGGCAAGCTCCGCGACGGCAGGGTACGCGATAGACGAGAAATAGTCTGTGTGGGTGTGCACGCACATGCCAAACTGTGGTGCAGTAGGAGGATGGAGACCACAATTCTCAATGAGGTATGCGTTGATGATAGAGTCGAATCTGAGAATTGAGGGTTACTCGCTGGATCTTGAGATCTTAGAGAGATCGTCGTTTTTGATCACACTTACAAAAAGTTGTAAACGGAATTGTTCATGTGGTCATACATATCATTGTCGTTCCTGTAAACAAGGGAGTCAGTCTATCGGAGCGATAAATCATATCCCTTGTACACGTGAGAAATGTCACTGTGACAGTAGACGCATTCCGCAAATCGCAAAGATAAGGTAGGGTAGGGTCAAAGGATGAGCGATGGTAATAATCCGGAGCAAAGGATACTGCTTTAGCTACTAAGTTAAAGCATCAATGAGGCGCAAACTCACCATCGCGTGCGGTAGTCGAGGAAGAAACGATAGTCATCTCTCTTGCGGGTCTTTAGCTCCGCTGGTGAAGCCTTGTTACCCATTCCGCGGTTCGATTCTCTGGGGTAGTTAATGGATCCGTAGCGTTCTCGACCGTGGCTTTTTGCTTATGCCCTTTTCACCTTACGAAGGACTTGTTTTGTTGTAGTAAACAACCGGTAGCGCCGGTCTGCGTGGGTAGAGAGGCGTGAAGTCTATTGGGCGAATTGCCAAGAAAATAAAACAAATCAAGCAAGAAATGCGACCGAGGTCAATGAGTCTAGGCTGAAGGGACTGAGACTGATGATATGATCCTTCGACAGTTGCGCGCGATGTGAAATAGTTATGGGGTAGCTTTGTAGTCTGGACCCCTTATGTCTCCTCGATGGTGTTTATGTTTTCGATGAGGAAACAGCCCCGATGTTTGAGAATCGGTGGCCAAGGGCAAAATCTCAATCTCACGATGATGCAGGATTGAATTGAAATGGAATAAGATGAGATCCGAGAAACAGTGAATTCCTGGGGTATTCACTTTTGGATGTGTTTCCGAGGTTCTGGGTTGCCCAATCTCAAAACGGAAAAGCCGAGGTTCGATCCAACTCTTTCTTGGAAGTGCTGTCTGAATTGTTTTTGTTCCCAGCCCCGGGAATTGATGAGGCATTCCCGTCTCCAACAGCGGTTTGTCCGCGCGCGGGGCTGATTTAGTGGACGGTTGACCTAGATTCCGCGGTCGTGGCAGCTAAGGTCGGGCACTCAAATCCCCTAGAGCACCCGAGAGACAGTGGGTGACGGGGAGGCCTGGCCTGGACTGGGCTGGACGCCTGCAGGCCAGTGCCCCCCAAGCCCTGTTCGTCAGTGGACTCTAGATTGACCTTTTGGGCTTTTGGCGGGGGAATCTTGAAACCATCTGCCAACACGGGCAAATCACGGCTTTGCCTTTGGTCTGGAGAGGAGTCGACTCATCCAAAAAGACTCAGACCGCCCGGGGATTAATTACCTAGAACAGGCGAGGGGTCCATTCCTGCCGCATGTCACCGCTTGTTTCTGCCGTTACCTCAACCCACAGAAAAAGATATCATCAGAATTTCAAAGACAATGTTTGCCAAGGGAGTCTCGCCAATCCCCGGGCCCACGCATACAACGTAGTCATCAGTGATAATTTGTCACTACACATTCTTTCAACCCTTTGCCTAAAAAACGCCCTTCTCTTTCGCGCATACCGTTGCCTGCCGCACACAAGTTTAAAAAAGCGCCGCAAAAAGCGCCGCATCTACTCCTCGACTGCTGTTGAGGAATGAGGGCTGCTGCTCTTCGCCTCGGCCCGCACTCCTCCGCATTACGAAGATCTAGGTCCCTGTCCAGGGCCACAGTCAGAGCATCCTCGCTACCCCCTCGTGAAAGGCGTCCCTTTGCAATGGCTACGTCGTCACCGAAGCTCGAGGCTTCGTCTTCCGAAGACAATATCTTTGCGAATTCTTTCCAGGATCTTGATATTCAGAGTGACAAGGGTCTTACACCAAGCCCTGTCCCGAACCAACCAAGCTCCGATCCACCACAAGCCGCCACCAACAACAATAAACAACAAAATCAAAGACGTCCAAAGCAAAAGAAGAAGCAGGATCCGCCAAAGGTCTCGGAGTCAGACGAGCCCCTCATTACACCAGTTGGGGACCCCTGGCCTCGGCCGTATCATTTTGAGGGAGATGGATTGCGTCGGGTAGTTCCATATCATTACACTTACAACACACATTGCAAAGAAAGATGGCGGAACAGGCCCCTCCTTGAGATCTATGAATCTGAATTCAGGGACCGACCGCTAGAGTACTATCGGCAGTCGATGATACGGGGAACTATCTTTGTTAACGGTCGGCGAGTCGGGCCCGATTATATTCTCCGGAATGGTGACCTAATTTCTCACACTCTGCACCGTCATGAACCTCCGGTAACAGAAGACCCTGTGCAGATCATCCACGAGGATGAAGATATGATCGTTATCAACAAGCCTGCGGGAGTTCCTGTGCACCCTGCCGGCAGGTACAACTTCAACTCGGTTGTTGAGATTATGAAATCAGACCGCGGCCCAGCATTCTTGCCATACCTTTGCAACCGCCTGGACCGTCTCACAAGTGGTATCATGTTCATTGCAAAGAACCCACCTGCTGCAGAAGCATTGGGTATCAAGATCAAGGACCGCACAGTAAGAAAAGAATACATCGCTCGAGTGATGGGCGAGTTTCCTGATGGCGAGGTCGTTTGCGACCAACCCATTCTACAAATATCTCCCAAGCTTGGCCTTAACAGGGTGCGCGCGAATGGCAAGACAGCCCGAACTGTGTTTAAGAAGTTGGCCTACTATCCTGCCGAGGGGGAGAACGACGTAAACGAGCGCCCTAAAACTCCTGAACAGGTTCAAGAGGAGAAGCTTCGCCCTTGGGTAAACAAGAAGGGATATTCCATTGTTCGATGTCTCCCTGTTACCGGTCGCACTCATCAGTTGCGGGTTCACCTTCAACATCTCGGCCATCCTATTCAAAATGATCCTATCTATGCTAACCGGCGGGTCTGGGGCGTTGATCTGGGACAAAACGACGCCGATGCGACTCAGAACACAGACGAAGACATCGTCAGCCGCCTGTCTCGGATGGGCAAAGACGAAGTGGCGGAAGCTGTTGCTTACTACGATGCCATGGTGGATAGATATGAAGAGAAGAGGGCCGAGAAGCTTACGGGCGAGCTCTGCGACATTTGCGAGACACCTTTATACTCAGACCCTGGTGAACATGAGCTATCGCTATGGCTCCACAGTCTTCGGTATGAAGATGCAGGCGGTGCCTGGTCATATGTTAGCCCGTTGCCTCGATGGGCTCTTCCACCGAAGGGAATGAGTGGCCCAACATCGGTGGGTGGGATGGAGGAGTTGGTGGATGCGGTTAAGGACGAGAACCCTGAGATATCATGATAATTGCCATTCCGTACAACAAGCACCAAGCAACTTCAGATGCCTACACTACATACATATTACGACCATCGCGTGGACAACGCCACCAAATAGAACGAGATGGCAACTCGTAGATACACATGAGCAGCTGAACAATAGCACATCTCGGATGAGAGCTGCAAAGCCGCCGAACCTATCAGACAGGACCAGCTTGATCCCCCGGCGCCAGGGTGAGGATCCGATATCCGGGTCATCATCCTGTGGATCTACTATTCGTGACCAGGGTCGGCCTATCCCCGTCAGTAATACAGGCAGACTATGACTATTTAGCTTATGCATGAGGTTCCTAGCCCGTATACACTGGAGGCTGAGCCAAGATAGGGCTTGGCTTCGAAACCCTTGAACATTCTTCGAAATTGCAAGCCTAGGGTTTGTGATGTTGTGATGTGAGGCATGCGACCGATGTCTGTCTTAGCTATGGCGCTCGGGATACCCTTCGCCCGGGAGCGCGGATTTACAACAGATAAGCCCAAAGTTTAAGACAAGTCAGTGGTTCACGGTGGCTAAAAACGGGCACTTACTAGAGGCTTCGTCGACGCCAGAGGCGCAACATGAAGCAACCAGTACGGAAGCCACTGGTAGACTAAACTCATCCCTCACCCTCGGAACCCATTTCTCTGGAGCGGAACCGGGAGGAATCAAAGCCAATGGTTCTCGGAGGATTGGGTCAATCTAAGCGAAGTACCGTAAGTCTCTAATGGGGCAGCAATTAGCCAATATGGGGCACTCAAAGCTCAAGCTCTCAACGCATTCCCCAGTGAACACAATATCAGAACATACGAAGGACCCCTCGGGGGCAAGAAAACAGCGAACCTTACTGTGGGGTGTCAAAATAAACTCAGCAAAAGCCATCCTAAGCTTAGGCTATATCACCTAAGTCTTTTTGTCATTTATGATCGAGGTCCTGTGTTTTCTTTCCTCCCCTAGGGACCCTAGAAAGATGGACCCCAGAGTTGAACGCAATGCCCTTGCCAAGAGCTATACCAACCGACAAAGTCCGTAATGACCGCCTTGGCTACGAGACTTGCGAAGTAGCTCGAGATAGGGTCGATGATGAGACAGGTCTAAGATTGCTCGACGCTCCGGGGCCGGAGCCAGAGAGTTCACTGGGTTGATAGATGCCAATAGATGGAGAAACAGAACTCCGACTAGGCATCATGGGCCTGGTGTTCGATACATGGGGTAGAGAGTCATGGGGCCATTGTAGATCCTCACGGGGATCTTGGGTCGAGCATTGATTACGTGCAATTATACGGATTGAAGCCTCACCAGACAACTGCTGGCGACCTTATCCATCACGAGAATATCAAGACGAGGCAAGGCCCCTGACAGGGTTTTGATGAAGTTCATTCAATTGCTTTATCCACTGGACTGGCTAAAACAAAAAAGCCCCAGTCAAGTCGAATCACATCATTATGTATGTACTCCGTATCACATCGTGAGCTCCACGAAGCATGGGTTTAATCATCGCTGGCAAGGGGTCCATCCTCTAGCACAACAACGGAATTGTGGCTGGCGAGATATGGATCACAGCACGCAAGCAAGCCATGATCGAAGCCTGCGCTGCGGGTGACCATTTGCGGCTGTTTCTCTCTTTTCCCTATTTTCTGGGGTAAAGAAGACAAGTTCATGATTGGGAATTGCTTGCTTTTTTCTGCGTTACCCATTCCTTCTCCACGGGTTCGGTTCTCATCACCCTTGCCAGCAGCAGTTACCAAGTCCCCGGGTCTTGGTTCTTGGTCACAGATGGGAATGGCAATCAATTCGCGCTGCTAAAGTCTAGTCAAACTGTCAAAGGTCCATCCCGCTCTCACGATCAGAGTTTTTCTCATCGTGAATGCAACGCTGAGCAAGATCGAAAAGCAAGATTTATGTTTGGCGGCGGGAGAAAGATGGCTCTAGTCGGGAGGCCCTGCTGGGATGGGAGCAAGGAACCCTTTCAATGAGACGTCATTGATGCAACGCGGCGTTGGAGAAATATACTGAAAACGGTTGAGAATTATGGATTGCTGACGATTTCAGCTGACGGACGCGCATCAAGATCAGCTTAGCTTTTCAACTGCCGAGACACGATGGGTCATCATTGTCAAGAATAGAATACAACGAAACTTGGTGAAGCAATTGTGAGTTTGAAGGATCTTCGACACACGCAATACAGTACAAACGAACAAACAAAATTCTCACCAAGGTTACGTTCGAGGTGCCTCGCACCAAAGAATGACGCCATGCAGGATGTTGTCTGTCGGTCTGTCTCTGTCTAGGTCCCGCGGGACCATGCTCGGGGAACCTGGCAGAGAAGATTCTTTTTTTCCTTCCAAAGTCTCAAAGAGGGAGCTCACCTGCAAGCCCCAAAAACTCAAAGCAGCACAGATGAGCTGTCAGCAGCGGCTCACCACGGCCTTGAGTTTTAGGGGGCCACATCCTTAAAACAGCCCTGTGCTGCTATTCCTCCTGGGGGAGTTACTCCTGGCTGCGCCGCAGCATAGACTTTCAGCCCCGAATTGCGACCGTGGTTTATTAGGTTGTCTTGCTTTTTCCTACGGCGACTGCGAAATGTGCAGCCCATTTGTCCGAGTCTATCAGTGCTTTACGAATTGCCACGCTGAAAAGTGACAGACTGAATGCATGCAGTGGAAATGGCTTTTGCGCCTTGAGGGCCGACAACTCCTCAAAGGGGGCATCTTGTCCGCTGGGCACTGAATGCTGGCTCCGTGCGCTGCAGCCAAGTATTTCCTGTACTGTACTGTACTTACACGGGGGATCTGCATGGAGTGGATTTCTGTATTGTTTCTTATTAAATGTTGGCGGGGAATCCGAAGACTGCAGAAGAGATATGATTGATACATACAGAGGACCGCAGCGTGGCTCCATCTCCATTGCCATGTGCCCCGGCACCTGATCTGGGGATTGGTTCTTGGCTTTGGACTTGACCGCAAGATGGTCGACGGTACTGTACTCACAGATCAAACGAGCGGCCGTGATGATGCCATATGGGGGCGGGTTTGGATCGACGCCGTCGAGTGCAGTAGAGTTAGCATGAAAGGGAGGATCAATGATACGACTCGCGATAGGCATGGCTTGTGCCGTTTCCACTCCATGGTAACGCTCCCACGTTTTGTCCGACTTCTGATACTGTACTAAAGTCAAGGACGAGCGTCTGGTGGTGGTTTACTTTGGCTTACAGTACAGACACTCACTTACTGATGGCCCCCCTGGTTCCACGTGCTCCACCGCTACACTACGATCCTTGGATCAACTGTGGAAGAGCCCCAGAGTCCTCCGACAGGTTAGAACCGCGAAGCGCGCTAACTAGGGAGCCGTCACTGGCGACCGACTGGGTCTCCTCACACCCTGACCCCGACTCCGACTACGCCGGATATCGGCTAGGTTAGAGGGATGAAAGTCTAATCCTGCAGGGGTCATAGGCTACGACAGTGCATAGTGGGTAGTGGGGGGAGCGCGGTAGGGATGGGCTCTCGATTCAGTGCTGCAGAGTGTCATCTTGGTGCCCTGGGACTTGTCCATTTTCCACGCTTCTGGGGGAGCTTCCCTGTGAGCCACGCTACGCTACAGTGCACTACACCATGAGTTACAGTACCTTGCTCTATGTTCAGGTTCAAGTTCAAGTTCAAGGTCATGGCCAGCAGTCGACTTCCTTCAGGGCCCAATCATCTAAGTGCACCCCGGGCATATGGGCTCTGAGACAACAAGTACACCCTTGTTTTATCAGGATGGGAGATACTGAGGCACACACAATAGACATGGCCATCGATATTCCATGATTAATCGAGGATGGCATAGCAGAGCACAGCACAACGCCTCGAAGCAAGGCATGGTTGGGAATAATACGCCCGCCGAATGACTCCACCGCTAATTGCAGTGACATTTTACTGCATAGCAAGACAGATGATTGGATTCATCAATCCTCTGGCTCATCTGTAACATGGGCATGGCTATCGGAGATGGTACTGTAGAATCGAAAGCAGCGGCGAACTGGAATACTTCTGACGTGCCAAATGAAATGCAAAAAGACATGCGTTGAAATGTTTCGATGCATCGGAGCCAAAAAGCCAACCGTCCAAGGGAACGGCGACTCTAACTGCTAACGTGCTGTCAAGCGAGGAGCATATTACGATACTTGCCTTACAGTCAGCCGCAAAGCCCACATCGATAACGATTGATGGTTCAGGACAAAACGGGGGCTCTTCCTGTTGCAGACAATAGAGGCGAGACACGAATTAACTTGACGGTAGAGGCGGCCCTCGAGCGAAGCTCTGTTCAGCTCAGCGCAAGAGAAAGGGTCCGAGAGCTTGCAGTGGAGCGTCAATCAATTTTGGAACCACGACCACGAGGAAGATGGGGACCCGCCGAGTTTACTTGCTGTAGTGTGTTGTGGTGTTTGTTATCCATTCATTGAAGAATTCGTGGAAGACAATTGAGAGGGGGGGAGGAGGAGGAGGAGGAGGAATTGGTTATTGCGTCAAATCAAGGTCAGGCCAGGTCAGGCCAGACGAGAGCATGCCATTGAATGTCTACGGTCATTTCTGGTTTGTGGATATGAAAAACTGGGCATTCTTGCAAATGCTATTCTGAAAGTCTGCCTATCGACGACGTATGTTGAAGAAGAATTGGGTTGGCCGAAGGAGATAATCTGGAAGCAAGAAACGCTCGAGAAGCAGGGATAGGCCACCCCAGACTGAAGAAGAAGACGCAGAAGAGTCTCTCGAAGGAGGATGTACACATTCGATGTCCTCAGTACAAGCTCAAAGTACACTCTCATTCAAACTCAGCCAACCTAACAAGAAGCGTGGCGCACCGGACCGCGCACCAGGGCCAGTACCAGCACCAGCACCAGCAACAGGACCAGCTCCATCTATCTCCAGCACGTACCAGAAGGACCCACGCTCTACCAGCCTTGTTGTTGCTGTTCCATTTCCATTGCTCACCCATGGCCCATGAGCCGGACAGACCAACGCTAACACTAATACCAACAGGGAGCATGATGGCCTCCCACTCTAGGGGGTGTGCCTAGCCATGTCTGAAGGGTCCGTCTCGACAGTACATACTGTACGTACACGTTGGAGCACGCCTCCTCCGTTGGAGATACACCTTCTCCAAGGCGAAAAAAAGAAAAAAGAGGATGGGTTCGTTCGTTGTTCTACGCCAGAGACGCCATAGGGAAAATGGTTATAAACAACACCCCTTGTCCCCTCGTCGATCAACTCTAGTACAGTAGCGTAGCTGGGCCGATCTCCATGCGAACACTTACTTGCACGACCTTGACCTTGACCTTGACTTAAGACTACAAGGACTCCACAGACTTCAACAGCTTCTACCTACTACATTGCTACCATCTCATCTCATCCTAACTTTCACCACACCTCACCTCACTTACATATATACACCATCCAGGGACCCTTCCTTTCCTCACCTTGACTTGAGGTTTCATCCTTCATACTTGTATAACATATCCGTCACATACAAGTCTTGGCCTTCTATATATATACCCACTTCACATCCACATACACACTCTATCTTGTCAACTCACCTCGACTTGACTTGACTTGACTTGACATGATCGCATCGCCCACCTCGTCGCCGTCATCTATGCCTTACTCTTCTTCACCCGACTCTCACACAATCACCTACCCCTCACAAAACAACAACACCGACAACATGGTCCGCTCATCATCAGCCGAGCCCGCAAAGAGCTCTAAGCGAAAGGGTAAGTAAACAAAAACCTAACCAGCCACGCGGGACAGAAAAAGCAAAAAACACACATACGCTTGCATAATCGCGCCCAGGCAGCAAAGTCAATTCGATTCATACACATACCCATGATCAACACTAACTGACACGCAACAACAGGCACACGAAGCGTCTCTACCCTCACACCTTCACAACTCGCGCGCAAGAGAGCCAACGACCGAGAGGCTCAAAGAGCTATCCGGGCGCGAACCAAGGAGCACATTGACCGCCTGGAGCGCGAGCTGGAGGACCTCAAGAGCAAGCAAAGCCGTGATCAGACAGTCCAGGAGCTTCTGCGACGGAACCAGGCGCTCGAGGAGGAGCTTATGCGACTCAAGGAGAACATGGGCGTCTCAATGACCTCTTCGCCTTACTCTGCACCTGGTACGGCTCTCTCAGTCTCCATCCCGACGTCCTCGTCACCGCACAACAGCATTCTGACCAGCCCCTCAGTATACGATGATAACCTCAGCACAGGCAGCGGTGCCATCCCCAGTCCTCGCGGCTCCCCCTTCCCTTCTGGCGACTACAGCCCCATCCCCGACTATGGACAGCAATATGTCCCCCTCCCTAACAACTGCGAGTCATGGGCCAGCACAGTCCCCTGCCCCGTCCCCTCCAACGTCTCAAGCCCTTCCTCATCTGCCGACGACTACAGCGCCGGCTACATTCCCACAAGCGTGCCTACCTCGCTGATGCCCTCAAACAACACAAGCTCCTCCAGCATCAGCGTGGGCCACGCTCACAAGGACGTGATCAAGATGGAGTATGAAGATGTTGACTCTCACGGTACGGTCATCCAGCAGCACCCAGCAATCTCACTCTCGCTCTCAAGACAGGAGACTAATCACACTCAGTGTCTAGACGCCGGATTCCGCCTCAGCAACCCCTCGCTTCATCCCGTGTCCCATACTTACGTGGCTCAACAGCAGCAGCCCGCCTGGAACATGTATCCCGTCTACTACCCCCAGGCTCAGTCCTCGGTCCATTGAAGGGCCAAACTCAACCGGGCTCATCCTGGCCGGGATCTGGGCCCGTTCTCACCACTCCGCCGGCCTGTCGCTTCGATGAGCTCTTAGTCGGCTTCCTCCAGGACTGCCGCCGCATGATCACCACAGAGTCTCTAGCTCACACTCTGGGTCCTCCTCAAATAGACGTGCGCTCACTGTTTCGCGGCCATGATAGCCACGGTCAGATCGCCTGCTCACCTCATCCCATCACCGACCTCATCCGCAGCCTCATCGACACAGCAGGAATGGCACGACTGACTGAGCGCATCGCCATCTTTGCGCCTCTGCAAACCATGATCTGTTGGCTTGCACAGCCTACTCCAGAGAGACGCGCGCGACTATGCGAAGACTACGTGCCGCGAGAGCGCCAACTGACAACTCCGCACCCTCAATGGCTCGATCTGCTCCTCTGGGGCAGTCTGCGCGAGGCCGCCATCGAGCGGCAGAATCTCTACGCTACAGACGAGTTTCAAAGGGTCTACTTCGACGCGCTGCGCCTTGTCAATTGGCCTTATCAGCCACTAGACGGCCTAGTCACAGATCCGCAGACGGGCCACGTTGGGCTCACGGATGCCCTCATGGCCCATGCCATGAACGGTTCCAATTGGCGTCTGGCTGGGACCTTTGCCCAAAGATACCCTGAGCTTTGCGGGCTAGTGGCTCTGGAGTAGAAAGTCTGTCTGATGGGGATCGACCACACCTTTGACTCTGACATGACTCTTCACCTTACCTCACCTTTACTTCACATGATTCGACTCCTGTATCATGGATCACATGCTGCAAGGCATGTCATGACATCGTGGGTTAACACGGCACCACAGAACGTCGATCCAAAAACTTACTGTGTGCTGGGATCATCCGCCGCGGCAAGTCTCTATCCTACTCCAACCCACGTCGATCATGCCCCAACCCACACATCCACATACATACCTACATACCTATCTATCTATCAACTACTACTACTACATCGTCATCATCTTATCACAAAAAAAAAACACAAAAAAACAAATCATGACATGACATGACAGGAAACTTTTAGAGGAGGAATCAAAGTACCCCACAACATCTCTAACGGCCATACTATACTTCTTACTGTACTGTTAACATTACATTATGGGAAAACCAATACTGTTATTAGACATGTATACTTGAACATGAAAGGAACGGGACGGAGGCGTGCAATTTGGAACACACACACACACACACACACAAACAAGCATTGGGACAAATCTAAGGAAATTCACTATTGGCGATATGGGGTTCTTGTTTTTAGAGGTGTTTTTTTTGACATACATTCCTGGGTGTAAGATGGTATTACCCATGTTCTTACTAGGCACATTTTTTACGAATCAAGATACACACGTTGGAATCTTCACACTCTGGCCTCAATTCTTCGTTTCATGGATCGTGATTGCAACTTCTACTATGAGCATCTATCTTTCGACTATCAGGCGGGTCCGATGATGAAAATCCTCTGGTTTCATTTTACCCCATACACTTACATGGTCGATGACATTCCAAAACCCTGCATGGACCCTTGTCCAATTTCGACCTGTAATTGATGGCATATTCCCATATCTACCAGGGTGTGTATGTTGCTGGACTGTGCTGTGCTGTGTGTGTGTGTGTATGTATGTATGTATGTATGTATGTATGTAGTGTTGTTGTTGTTGTTTTTAAAATTACCCTTTTCTTTTCTTTACTGGTAAGCGTCTTCTACATACGTAGGAGAGTTACATCGAAAATGCATCTCCACCGCCATGTTCCCGTCACGCACATGGCTCAGAGTCCCAAAGAGGGAGGGGGAGTGTCGAGCATTGGGCAGTCTGAGGGTCCCCCACTTACAGTGTATGGTTAAACCCATAGACCAGGGAGAGGATATCTGATATGTATCGGTCCAGCGCTTATACTGCTAATGGTCTAGTTGATTATCCCCCTATGCACCAAGGGGTAAAAGCTGTTCCAGCGACGACAGGCATGCATGCTGCTGTGCTGTTAGTTGGTATCGCACCTTGGAGTTTTGGAGCAGATATACCTGATACCCAATGCTCAGTAAGAAATGCTCACCGCGTAGCTTACTTTTGTCCTGCCCAAAGACGTCAGTTGTCCACCTTGGCTACAACTATATCATTTCTCAGTTGCGTTGCATCGCACATGTCACTGCTCGAGCCCCTTGCGGTTGCGGGAGATCTCGAGCAGGGAAAATTCGCAACATTGAGCCGCAACAATACCAAGTAGAGTGACTTGAGATACTTGCTTTTGCCTCCCACGTTCTCAAGTACAAGTTTTTCCAATCTTGTAAAAGATCGTGGCGAAACTGCATGGACACGCACGTGGCCCATCCATACCATATGGCCCTTGTCTCGCAATGACAGCTTGACACAATCTCATACGGCCACATGCGTATTCTAAACATGGACTTTTGCGATCCCGAGGGAGCAAGCACAAAGTTTAGTCTCAGGTTAGGCTTGAACGAACTGAGCTCCGAGGTACAGCAAATGTTCCGTCCTGCCCTGTGCTGTGCTGTGCTGTGCCCTGCCCTGCCGCTTCTCTTGTCTCTCTTCTCAAGAGCCGGGGTGGCGTCACGGTCTTGTATGCCCAAAACGGTGATTTCCATATTATCTATCGGTGCGACACCGACACCGACACACTCAATGAGAGAGAGACACTGAGACAGGCTAACAGGCAGACAGAGGCTGAGAGGCAGTCGCGCACACACACACACAGCGAGAGAGAGAGAGTCTCAGCCCTCCGGAGCTACGTAATGGACATTCTTCGCGGAAGTTCCGTCTAGATTCCGTGAAATAAGGGCGTAAAACAGCCTCGAACGTTATGTTTCGCGGAAACTCTATTTGTTTCCGTGATCCCGTCGGGTCGGACGTTTTTCTCGATTAGCAACACGCAAAGGCAAAGAAGCGATTGTACAACATTGCGGCTCGAGCCTCAATTCCGCCGACCATCGGAAGAAGACGACGACGGCTGGTCGGAGAGGGCGAAACAGAGGCCTCGTCACGCAATTGCTTGGCTCAAAGTAAAGAAAAGTACCTTGCAGTAATGGACAAACCCAAAAGATACCGACCCGACCAGGTTGTTCCCGCGGGAAACAATGGGCATGGGTGACACTAAAAAGTTCCCTCCGCATCTGCATCTGACTTTCACCTGAAGCCTCAAGGTAAGGCCTGCACTGACGTTGGAAGTGAAACTGGTGACACTGAAGATCGGCCACTAAACATCCCCCAACTTTCAGTTGGCTATTGCCTATCCTCCTCTTCTGAACTATATTTTTATCATACTGTACTGTACGTAAAATTGCGACTTTGCCCTTCCGAGTATGCACTTCGCCAGCAGAAGAGACGCACAGGCATTTCCCAACCTAGCGGTGCAACGAAGCAACAGTTCCGTGAGACACTGACAGCAGCAACTCAGGGCTTCGTTGCGTAGGTGGCTTGGCCTGTTTGAGTCTGAGCCATTCTTCACGCAAAGCGCGGGCATTTAATTGTTTTGTTTCAATTTTCCATCGCAATTCAGACCCCGATGTCGTTAAGGCCGCGAGATCCTGTATGTACAACAATGACCTGCATCTGACGTCTGACGCCCAGTTTGCGGTGAAGACGCCCAGATGTGTGGGATGCACAATGTACAATGCGTTGTGCTGTGCTGTGCTGTGCTGTGCTGTGCTGTATTGTATGTACTGCACTGTCCTGTCCTGTCCTGTACACCGCAATATGGGAGCAAATCAGCTCCAGGGCTAGAAAACCTAGAAGGGGCCTGGAAGACTGCTCAGAAGAGTGATCGAAGCCAATGCAAGGCCAATCTGCAGGCGAGAATGGCATCGGCACGTGTTGTGTGGATGCAGAGCAATTCGGGAGGGAGGGTGAAGAGGCTACAGTCCCCCAAAGCGCTTCAAAGTCCTGTACGTACTGTCTTGCTTCCAACTTCATCTGCTGCAAAGCCGTTTCTTCATGACTGAAAGATGAAGATGGTTGCGTTGAGTTGGAGAAAATACGTCTAACTGAAGAGGGCGAAGCGGTCCGAGGTGTGGAGAACTGTTAGACAAATAACGGTATATGACAGGCTGAATTTATCGAGGACCCTAGAGTTGCAGAATCAAGGGGTTCTGTAGGGTCATAGAGTTTGCGCTAGAAGGTTGCTGCAGCTTCTATTCCATGGAAGTCAGAGGTTGAAGTGTGGTGCTGCTGGCTGTGATCGAGGAATCATCGACGCTCCCAGGGGGGGCCTTGGAACTGCAGGATGGGGGCTCTCATGCAGGAGTAACCAACAGTGAGACATGCTACGTCAAAAGAAGATGGAAAGAAGTCCTGCCGAATAAAGGCGTCAGCCTGTTGTCTCCATCTCTTCTCTAGTGGTGTCCTCGTCAGCGTCGATTTCCGTCCTGTTACCGTTTCTGTCGTGTCGGCCATGCGACCACACAGACACACATGGCTCGAAACGGACTAACATCAGCCAAATTCTCTTGGGGCTGACTTGAGAGATGCCACAGTCTGTCGAGATTAATCACCGTAATTATACCCTCATATCAATCTGTTGGCTCGTTCGTTGCTAGGGGGGAGCCTGAGTTGAAGGCTCAAGATTGGGTTTGCCGCGCCAGGGGTTGTTACGGTTCCCCGATCAAGCATAGAGTTGCATTATCTGTGGTTGTCTTCTGCAATGATGACATTCTCCCCTTGAGAACTGGCAAATGCGAGGACAGGAAAGGGCCCTATACCGCTGCTTGATCGTCATTCTTATATGTACTGCCCTTTGTACACGGTCATATGCAAAGATACGGCCCTGCTGTTGCCAGCACATCATAAAAAAGTCATTTGACTAATATCGTGGTGTAGAATTGAATATGGCGATCCGCCTCGAGCCGTTGGGATAATCCTGGCTGCAAATTACAGGCCTTGCAACGACCCCTGGGTCGTTCGCCATGGACCCCCGTTCACACTGAGGGGACGTGGCTTGCATGGATTTGTTGACAGGGATTTGGGAGATCATGACGCTAGTAGGGGCCCTAGAATATCGCATTCAATCCATCAGCAAATAACGTCTCGGCATCTAACTCATGCGCGGCTGCTTAAAATTGCTAGACCGTGAAGTGATGTGCAGTTAGAAAAAGAAACAACCGTGTAAATAGTTGCGCCAAGACGTATGAGCCGGATATCCATAGAGCCCATGATCTTCAATTAGGCCTAAAGCCAGGGATTAGTTGAGTAGCGGCACGATTTGCGAGTAGAGATGAGGTTGGACGCAGGTGGATCTCCCAACTTCCCATCTCCCTTCCTGAGAAGAACTAAGAGACCAGATCAGTTAGCTCCATCTCTGTACCTAAAAACCACGAGGCAAGCATGGATGGGGCCTCAAGGGACTGAGGTGACAGGAGACACAAGCAGAGTCTGAAGAATGCCCCCTGCGTTGCACAGACATGATGGCTGCAGGAAAAGAGACCGACTGCCGTAAGGAGTACTTATTACTCAATGAAAGGAGAATCCACCGCTTTCGCTCAAGAGGCCCGAGGAGGTGTTACATTCTCTGTTAATATCTCATACGTAAAAACTTCGATGTTTTATCAAACCCTCATCATGAAATATGTACTTGCTGTGGCTGAGTGTAGCTAACAGCAAGGTTCTTCTCGAACCAAGTGCAGAAGACAATAGAGTTTGTTCTTGCA